GTGTGTGTGTGTGTGTGTGTGTGTGTGTGTGTGTGTTTAAGATCAGCTGACTGAGGCAGACATTTGGGTGACTAATAGGTATTTAGTTGCATTCAGGGATTATCTTTTGCTGGCTTCAATGGTTCATAAAAATCTTTTGGTAAAAGACACACAAACAGGCATAAACACATTTATCCTATTAGAAAGAAAAACACTCCTCTAAATTGGATGATGTATAAAAATATGAACAATTATTTTAAGGAAATGACTGATTATTTTGGCACAATGTAACTATACAGTATATTATTAAATGATTACTAAAAATACACATCTTGTTGTGCATAATAGAGTACTTTGAGTGAGAAAACTTTGCCAAAAAAAAGGAAGTTTGTATCTGGTTGATGATATCTTTCTTTCTGCAATGCCTCTTGGCAAAAAACATCTTATAGTACTAGAAAACCTGTTCATTTCTCCTTAAATTGTGCCACATTTGTTAGGAAAATACGTTTGTGGCTTGAGAAGCTTAAAAATACCTGCCAAATCCTCTCTGCCAAACAGCTTATTCTGCTACAGACTCCTGTTTTGTGTTTTTTTTGGACTGGATGATTGACGTCAGCAATTTCACAAATTATTCATTCAACAAACAGGAAAAACAGAGTAGCATGTGGAAGAACCACATCCAGCTCCACAGCCTGTTTTAAATGTGGCACGCTTGGCTCTTGTTCTACTCTGTAACATTAACAGCAGTGCGACCAGCCACCTTAACAACAGTCTACATGTAAACTTTTTTCTGACTCGTAAAACACTAAAATTGGGGACATTTCCGGGGACAGGTCGTCCAAAACGAGGAGTGTTTCTGAAAATCGGGGCTGTCTGGTCACCCAAATATTACGTTCTAAGTTCTAGTATACATTCAGACAGCAACACGAAAAACACCTACAGTAAATCAACACACAGAGTTTGACACCTTCAGCAAAAAGAGATTTCAAACAGTGTAGGGATTAAAGTCCAAATCTCTGACAGCAGCTACCGCTAAACTTACTTTTGTCACATCAGCCTTTTGGAATCGCAGCTTGTTGATCTAAGAGTTCAAACCCCCCCCCCCCCACACACACACACACACACACACACACTCCAATCCCCGTGTGTTTGGGTCTGATTATAGGAGCCCGGCCAGCCGTGTTGGAGAGCAGCGCTGCTCCACCATCTGCAGCCTCTTCAGCAGCTCAGCCAAGTCACACCAGCACTGCCAGCTCTTGGAGCAACTCAGCAGTTTGCTGCGGAACATTCAGTTTATTGTCACTCACAGCCTTCGCTCAGTCTGCTCGGTTTCTGTTTGACCCACCTCTGAGCTGGATCCCCCCTCCAGCCCCTCCTCCCTCCAACACCACTCATTTGAAATAAACAAACTACTTGTCTGCAGCTCTTTTCTCTGGTAGATTTACCAGCAAAAACAGGAAATGTAAAATATGTATGCCTTCGTTGACTTAATAAATAAATTAACAGAGGCACAAGCGTATAGACGCTGATGCACTCATGTTTTTATGTTCTGATTATTCTGTTTCTGTTATCATTTTTGCCTTGCTACTCTTTGTGCTGCTTTGAAAAAACCCTAATAAAATATACATCAAAATGTGTGGCTCAATTAGGAAAAGTGTGCTAATAAAATGGCAGAAGTCTATTATATTAGACACAAAATTTGTGAGCCAAGAGGGAAGCCATTACAGTTATACACCCATAATTATCATGTTAACAATACCAAGCTATCTATCTGCAACAAATATCCAAGGAAAATAGATAAATGGGCTAGCACATAAAATAAGAACAGAAGGAATAAAACAAACACTGACAGGTTCACTCATCACAATCAAACAGAGAAGTCAAAGATGTAATACATGGATGGGCAACTGGGGACCTGCGGGCCACATCCGGCACACCTATGAGCAGGTACACAAACAACAGCGACTTTTTACCTGAACCACAACTACACAGGAGTCTGCACTCTGTGGCACTGCAGCTCACTAGAGTAAGAGTTTATTTTTTGGTGTTATTATCTTTAATCTACAAGACCCTCCTGGACTTAGTTCCAACTTACTTAAGCACCTTACTACAAAGAACCAACAGCCACTACTCCCTATGATCCACCAATGTTATCCTCCTAATGGTACCATGCATAAGAACTGAACTGGGAATGAGAGCGTTCTGCTGCCCCTGTAGCTTGGAACACATTGCAGATGGATCTGAAACTGTCAGGACTCATTTTGCTAAGATCCTTCATTTCAACTGTTACAAATAGTGTTACCAAGGACTTTGATCGATGTCGATGTTTCTGAACGACTTGTTCAGTCACTAGCTGTATTGTCTTTGTCTGTACTTCAAACATTGCCTTTTCTTTCATGTCATCACTCCATTCCACTGCCTAGAACCTTGAAATCATTCGGTCTCAAACCTGTTACACCTGTATAACATGGTTATACTGTAAATTGTAAACTGTTTTTTATTGTTTTGTGATGTGTGCTGCTGACCTCTTGGCTAGGTCACCCTTGGAAAAGAGATCTTGATCTCAGTGGGTTTTATCTGGTTAAATAAAGGTGATTGACTGATTGATTGATGATTTTTTGTTTGCTTCAATTGTTTTTCCATCCATATATTTATTGTTTTTTATTAAACAAGAGTACAACTGTTATACATGCATTTGAGTGATGTATATTAAGTAACTGAACTATAGTTGGTTTAATAAATGTGTGTCAGTTTTATAACATTTGGGTAAGTGTGCAGCGCTATGTGAGCCTCTGGTAGTGTCAACATTGTGGCACTTTCCTTTATTTAAGTTGCCCATCCCTGTTATAATATGACTTAAGAGACGTCCCAAAGGCCTCATCAAGTAAGTTTAGGGAGCCACTGGCAGCAACATTGGGACAGCTGTGGTGCAGTGGTAGAGCAGCCGACTTGGGACCAGAAAGTCACTAGTTCAACTCCCTGCCATGCCCACGTTGTGGTGTCCTTGAGCAAGACACCCAACAAAAACAAAATAACCATATACAATAGAAAACAAAGAAAATGCACAAATCAAAATAAAATGAAAGGCAGCAGAAGAAGAATAAATCTTATAATGTTTGCCCCTTTTATCCCCAGAATTTACTCAAACAAAACATAATTTACTCAAACAAAACATAATTTACATGCAACATAAAACATGCATTGATGACAAAGTGCATTACATTACAGCTGCCTGGAAACCTTTCAAAAAATCATCCAGAAATTTTATAGCTCGCTTTAGAACTTTTAACGTGTTTTTTTGCATTATTTGTCAGCTTTGTTTGCAGCACATCAAACCAACGGGAAGAAAAAACAAACACAAAAGATGTAATGATGGCCATATTTTGTAGGTTATTAATGTTAGAGCCCAAAGTGGGTCATATTTTCTGTTTTTTAAGACTTTGTTAAGTATTACATATAATACAAATATTAGTTTAATCCCGCCAAAATGAGACTCCGCGGGTCTTCGAGCAGTCCTGATGCATCTCTGGGTTTTCTTTACTTCCCTTTCCGATCTGATGGAGGAGCTGTTGAGTCGCAGAACTCCTCTGAAAGGGAACATTTGCCATTCACAAGAGCAGCATCTGAGCTGATGTCCATTCAAGATAAATGTTCTGCAAAAGGAGCAATTCTCATTCAACAGCAAGCCAGCGCCAGAGTCACCATTTTTTAACTCTCAGACAAAAATAAAAACATGCCTGCATCAAAACAACCCGCTTCAGGACAAATTCTCTTCGTCAGCCTGTTTCAGCCATGTGTTCTGGAAGATTTTTTTTGGGGGGTGGGTGTATTTTCAGCACGTTTTCTCCCAAAGCTGATTAAAATCCAGCCCCACTTCTCTCCCACTGTCTGTCACCACCTTCCCCCTTCCCTCTGCTTGTTTTCTCCATCCAGTTTTTTTTGGGCTCACATGGCTCCGGCTGGTATTTATAGATCACAGAGGTTTAATTTTAGCAGAGTTCTTTTTTTTTCTGCCAGGAGGGAACCGAGCTGGGAGGAGACTGTTCGGATGTGAGTGTCTGTATTCACGAGTGCGCCACGTGCCGTCTCGAAACACAGAAAAAGGAACGCGTGTGTGTGTGTTTTTGCAGGTGAATGAGGAAACCATGCATGGTTACACACATACCCACACACCTGTTTCTGTGTGGGAACTCCTGCATGTGTAACTCTGTTCTGACCTTACAACCCTGAGACGTTCACCTGTAGTTTCAATATTACAGTTTTTATTTTAAGGGTCGGGGTAAGAAAAAAAATAGCCTAATGCTTTTAAGCATGAAGGAAGCACTGTGTTTGTGTATGTGTGTATGTGTGTGTGTGTGCTTTATTTTAGTCGGCACGTGAATGCAAATCTGAGCGAGGTTCTTCCCCCGCCGCTTCCCTTCATCCTGATGTTTTCTCATCTCGTCTCCATCTGGTAGCTGTTCTATATTTATCCACTCGGGGATGACCCTGCCCCTCCCCCACCCTGCTAACGGGGCTATTTTTAGCTCGTCCCTGCAGTCGGTTAAG